CGTTCTTCATAATAGGGCACACTAAGATTAACGAAGGAACATAACGTTTTAAAGAAATACCAGCTTTTTAGCAAAGTGGAAAATTCCGGAAAGGTGGAAATCGGGTGTAGTAGATAAACTTAAGTTTTACATGTTGACAAAGCCTGTTCATGTGAAACCACCGAGTAAATAAAGCAGCAAAAGTAAAATTACGTTGGCAAATAATTCTTTTTTAAAGTTTTCGGATAAATTAGCTTCAATATTATGTGCAGCGTAATGTATGGCTTTTGCCGAACAGCCTAAATATCGAGTATGTATTTTAACACGTTTTTAAAATAACTGGTAGTGGTTTATTTTGTATATGCATCGCCTGAGTAATGTTGTACTAAGGTAACCACGTGTTCGTTTGATATGCCCCAATGGGACATCAGAGAAATAATATTTTGCTTAGGCTCACGTGAGTATATGCCGGTCAGTGACAAATAAATTTGAATGAAATTGTCAGATACAATTTTAAACGTATCATTTTTTGTACAATTGCCTTCCGCCACATCTTTTTTTCTGATCATGTTGATATTTGCAGTACGAGGAGGTTCAGATCTTCCTTGAACCGATAATCTAGACCTAAAGATTTTCAATGGCTTCAGTCCATTTATGATTCTACTTGCATGACAAAACCTTCAAATTAAGATACCTCTTAAAAGCATTTACCTAAATAACGAGCTTTAAAATTTTTTTCTTATGCAGCTCTCCGTGTTTGTCACGGATTCAGAACTACCCAAACATGTCAACTCATTGCGGAGAAAAACAGAGGTCCACAACAAAATTCGCGAATGAATATGCCTATGATGATTAAAAAAATTTATATAACAACTTCTCTCATGAAAGACAGCTTTAGTTATATATTTTTTGGGGTCGGATTTCTGATTTGAACAATAAATCAAGATCAAAATGGGATATTTAGCATGTTTATTGATTTTCCTAAAAATTATGAACACATCTGTTATAAATGAAATGAACACTTTTTCAATATATTTGGTTACTTCTAGGCTAAGATCAACGGCAATTTTTGAGAAAACTGTATCGCAATTTCCCACGACAACTCACTCAAATGTGTGTTGTGTTAACTGTCGTCAACATTATATTGACTGTACAGTCAATTTACTTACTATCTACTAATATATTCCTCCTTCGCATTCCTTGCCTGCAACCCTTCAAACATAAAATTTACATTTTTATTGGGGTATAGGAAGTGACAGCCTTAAATTTTTATTACTTAATTATTTGGCAGGAAACTTGGAGGATTTGCAAAATAGAAATTCCTAAGCTTATTTCACTCTTCTTTTTCCGAAAATAATACATTATCTCATAATAACACGAACATCAATTTCAAGGAGAGAAAACAAAATTTTCCGTTTTGTGAACAGATATAAGTAAAATGTTCCTGCTTTTCATGAATGCTCTTTTATAGTGCAAAATGCACAAACAAGAAGTTCTTTTTCGCAACGTTCCATAGCGTAGAAAATTCCTCCGATATCAATAAACATTAGATTTTGCCTATTTTCACCTCTATTTTCTCTCAGTATACTGATCTGAGTGGAATTCAACTCTAGTAAACATCATTTTGCGCCTCAAGTCTACCCAATGAACTAAAAAAACGACCTCAAATGCGTGTTATATCCCCCAATCTCCAATCTTTCGTCAGATCCGTAATCTACTGTAAACATAAACTTTAGAGCTCAGTGAAGGTTGTTCGTCTCTGGTTGTCCGTCTCTTCTCCTGCCAACTACTATTTTATTTTTATTAAAATTCTGAGCATTTTACGATTTTTACCATTAATATGCGCAAATATTCGGGGTCCAGATATAATATCGTGCTTATCATCCCCAGTTGAGGAAGATGAAGAAGAGGGGGCAATTGCTGGAACTAAATTCTATTGTTGCTGACGTTTGGAAAACATGCTCTTTCTCATCGTCAGAGTGTGGTGCTTACTCCTCCGCCGGCCTCGAATTAATGCGCCTCGCCGCAAGCCATGCACTTTCACATCGCCTGACATTTGCTGGTCAGGCCTTATTTACCTTGTTGTTGTCCTCTTTTTCCGCCACACTACATATTGATTAAGTGGATTCTACCCTGCAGTTTTTCTGGCGAATCGTCTGGCACTTTCAGTTCCTGCTGCCAATCAACATGTAATTAGCACCCAAGGTCAGTTACAGTTAAGGCTGCGCTGACTTAGGAGTGCGAGAACGTTTTCATATAAAAGACCCTGTTTGGCCTCCTCTTTCTTTTCATTTTGCTACCGCAAAGCATGACATTGTCACATTTTGGCTATCTTGCAGTTTTTCTGGCCGCACTCAGTAAGTGAACCTGCTTTCCATGTTGCTTGCGCCCGTGGTCTTTCAACTTATTCTATCAAACGTGTTTGCAGTTGTAGCAGTTCATAGCGAACAAACGGAGTTTGCGCTGCGTAGAGCCTGTGGGAAGAAATTTGACGGCTACAAAGTGAGGGCGCCATTTGCTTTAGAAGTAAGGTTCCCTTCGGTTCAGATGGTTTTTTTTCTCTGCATTTCCATGATTTCCTCATGGCATATACCTAACCTATGAAAAAAGGCGTAACATAAAGTATTTTCAAGCATAACGTAAACGTATACATTTCTTTTATCGCATAGTCTACTGTCGGGAAGTGCGATGTTGCCGAGGGAGTTTGCGGAGAGATTGCTGGTATGATATCATAAATCCTTAAATTTCTTGCAAAATATAAGCCAGTACATCTATCTGCATCGCATTTTTTAGGCCACGAGGAGACTTTCAGAATTGCTGGTGGCACTCCCTTTGATGAACACGGCATTATGGTGATTAGAAACAAGGCAAACAGAGCAGACTATAAAGTACTAAACATAAACGGTACGTCCTTTTTCTGCTTTATTACTTCATTGCTAATACTTATGCCCTCATTTTAAAGGCCGAAGGGTGGCAGATGCCGATACACTAAAGGGTTGGTTGTCGGTGAGGCAAGGTGCAACGACATTCCACCAATCATGGACTGTGCCATTTCTTATAGGGGTAAGTTCAATTGCTGATTACCGTTTTGCCGCCATGTCTTCCCTGTAGATGAGGCTCAAATTTATATTTCATTTTGTAGACGATTTCACCGCAAATTCCGTATACGATTGAAAAGCGTAAGCAAACAAACCTTCCACATATTCTCCACTGACCAGATAAAGACTGACAGATAGCAAATATTTGATTTTGTGTTTATGCAGTTTAATCCACTGTTTGGCCAACATTTTTGTTCCACCAAGGTGGCTTATTGTTTTTGTGCATGTACTGTCAACAAAATCAGCTTTGAAAATATATTCCGTCCTTTTGAAAAGGTACTATGCTCATTCGTAAAGTACAAATATGAGTCCTATGGTTTGGGGGCATTTTATGAGCCTGAGATTTCATAATCCGTCGCAAGTGTATCCTCAGATCCATCATCTACCCGGTACCTACTATTGTCTAAGATGATGAATCCGCGATGGATTTCAAAGCGACCCAGCGATTACATCAGCCTCTTTGCATTGCTTGTTAGTGCATATGGTGCTGTTGAATCGAAAGCCATTATGTCAAATGTTGAAATAATGTATTTAAACTGATCCGAAACTGAAGTTTTTATATGAGCAAATAACTCGATTTGTATGTAATTGTGTATCTCGATTTAGAGGAAACAATCATCGAACTTAGAGGACAACTGGGAAATGAGCCAGTTGA